GCACACATACTATTAAAGTAATTATTATAATTAAGGTAAAATATTTATGAGTAAAAATGCAAGGGCTTTGGAACCTAATTGGCAAAGTTGGACAAGGACCTGGCAAGGATTTTGCATTTGGCATTGAAAATAAAGTTTTATCACCTTGTGATGAAAAATCAGTATGGGGTCTTCATCAAGGGAAAAAAAGAGTAAGCAATTATTTTTCATATTTAATATAAACATACTAAATCTTATGAAAATACCTAACATGTTAACAGAATATAAATGTACAGAGAGTAAATATAAGTCCTAAATTTTTTGAAGCTGTAAATGTTACCATTAACAATACTAAAAGGTGTTTCTTTTATGGCAAATCTAAATTTAAAATGAGAACTAAAATTTTTTATTAAAAAGCATTCTTAGAAATTTTGTTGAGAAAATTTTTTTGATTATTTCTTCAAGGCACTTCTTTTAATCTTCAGAAAATGTTATTTTATGTGAACTAACTATTTTAGGTAAACTAACTAAGGACCTTTAAAATCACTACTTTATAATGCCTGAATCTTTATTTGACTTGTTTTTCTGTGCATCAGCCTTATTTGCCAATGTTTTTGTTTTGGAATTATAGAATTACAAAAGGGTTGTAACCACAAAAAAAAAAAAAAAAAAAAAAAAAAATCCTTCTCGATTGTATATAATAAGACCCCCTTAGCCTTGAGAAGATAAATAATATTAAAAAACAATAACAATAATAAAAAACAAAAAATCATTAGACTTTTCGCTGAAAGGATTACATCTATGTTTATGCTAGTGATATAATGATTAATCAGCTAATTTTTGTACAATTGCTATCAGGATAGACGTCAGCCTTTTTTTATCCCTTTACTAATTTACTTGCTTGTACTTTTACTATAATAATAATAATAATAATAATAATAATAATAATAATAATAATAATAATAATAATAATAATAATAATTATTATTATTATTATTATTATTATTATTATTATTATTATTATCATTATTATTATTGCTATTATTATCATTATTATTATTGCTATTATTATTATTATTATTATTATTATTATTATTATTATTATTATTATTATTATTATTATTATTATTATTATTATTATCATCATCATTTATGAAAATAATTGTGTTTTACTTAAACCAAACTTTATACATTAATGTTTTAAAATAAGTATTTTGATCTGGTTTTCGAGCCAAGTATATTTTTACCAGATCCATTTCTGGTAATGTTAAATCCATGAACAGTTCAACATGTTTGGCCCTACTAACAATGGTATATAGTTGTGATGTAACAAATAAAACATAAACTTGTAAATAACTTAATAGGAGAGAACATTTATTATTTTTCCAAAATTAATTACATGGCATTACATTCTAACTAAAATAGATACAGAAGTATATTGTCTTATTTTATTTTTGGCTTTGTAGCTAATAATCTAATGAAAAATCTTAAATGGCTAATGAAATATATATAATAAATAATAAATAATAAATTAATTAAAAAAAAGGTCCAGTAACAAATCTAACTGTACTATTTTTCATTAAATTTTTTAAGTTTATCATTACAATTGTTTTTTAGTGTAGGATTTATGACTTCATTATCTAATTGACATGTTTGTTTATTTTAAATGACATGTTTGTGTTATAACATATTTACTTTTTTCTTTTTTACAAATAACAAATCATGTTTTAATACTTTGACTATAATAAAAGTGGTATGATGGTTGATTTATTCATTAAGAATTCCTATATTAATAAATATTTAACCCTTTATTGTCAAGCTTTACATTATTCTGATAAGTATTATTAATAATGGTTTACTTAATAAATTCTAAACCAGGGGATTTAATTTTTCTTAATCATTTCATCATTAAATATAATTTCTGCAGTCAGATGATGCTTCAGCAATATGCATATGTATATACATAAATATTTTTTTACTTTATATTATATATTGTCTTATGTTATAAATTATTGTAACACATCTTTAATAACTTATTTCAATTCAGCTATTTTGATTTTTACTTAATAAATACATGTTCAACCCAAATAATAATATTCTTCTGACTGTTTTTGTTATTTTGAATAGTCATTATGCATAATATACAGGCTTGTAAAGCCGACTGTTTTTTTTATGGCTCGGCTCCGGCTGCTAAGAAATATCCGGCTCGGCTCCGGCTCCAAAACTTTATGAACAAAAATCGCAAGTTTTGGAAATTTTTTTGATCACATTTGCCGACCCATAACTATACTAACTACAGCAATTAATTTTTAACCAATTCTCACGGTTATTGTATTACTATCACTACTCTACTCAACTACCTTTGAAAAAAAAAATGTTTTGGGTAAACAAACACTTTTTTCTATAAATTATTTACCCAAAACTATAGTTTTTAGTCCGAAGTTTAATTCTAATTCTACCCAAGGGGCACGTACCTAAAAAAGACCTCTTTTGAAAGTCCCAAAGATTTCCAAAACATTCAAAAGGCATCCAAAACTTTCTAAAGACGTTTAAAAGACCTCTTTGTATGCCCGTACCCACTGGGTAAAACATGCAATCGTTTAATTATTTTGAATAGCGAACATTTACGCTAATTGACGACATCAACTTCTGCACAGTGTTTTTTACAATTTTTTTCCCTACTAATGTTAACTCTCTAATCAAATCTTTAGCTGTATTTATTGTTTTGCCACTCTTACACAAATATCCTTTGCCGATTCTCCAAAATTTCTCAATGGGACGGAACTGTGTGCAGATTAATGGATTTAAGCTTTAAAAAACTCTGAAACTTTATACCTTTTGGCTTGTTCTTTGTTCGATAAGCTGGGGTTTTGATTGATGATTGTCGAATACTACTGCTGCTTTCTTATCCTTAAAGCCACTCTTTCTTCCAGATCCTTTTGCTTGTTCGATAGATAGAGAGGTCATGTATTGTTTTATGCCCATGCAAATAATAGTTTTGCTAGATTCAGATGCTTTAGCATTTGAAAGTAACGATGCAGAAGAATTGGGTAGATTATTGTGCAGACTTTTTTTTTTTTTTTTTACTATTTCAATCACAATTTAATTAATAGAAACATTTTGACTCCTTTGTTAATTAATACTATAATTACTTAAAATAATTACGCAAAAAAAAAAATACATTAAAAATGTGTTATTGACAAGTTTTAAAACGAAAATCATCATTTCAAGTATAATGATTGCATACTTTAATAAAGTTTTAAAGATATGAATAACCTTTGATCATTAAATTGTGCATCAAATATTTAACAGCATAGTATCAGTATAAAAATATAATTTAAAGCATATAATATAATATAAAAATATAATATAAAGCTGTAATTTTTCCATATATAATTTACTTTTTTTTATATATATATATATAAAGCATATTAAGAAATACTAATAAAGAATAATATTTTTTTAAGTACAATATCGTTAAAATAGTCATTTTTATTACGTTTTGGCAAGACCAAAACTGTTAGAAAAAATTTAAAAAAAAATAGAAATTCAATGTTAAACAATAAATGAATAAAGTTTGTCTAGAGTAAAAAAATAAAAAATATATTTTCTATTCCTTAAAAAAAAAAACGAGAGCCAAGAACCGCTTGATTTTTGTGGCTCCGGCTCTACCCAAAAACAGCAGCTCCCTGGCTCCACGGCTCCGGCTCAAGCTCGGCTCTACAAGCCTGGTAATATACATAATAAGTATTCATAAAAAAAAAATTGTAATAATAAAAATTCAGAATAACAACAGACCTAACACAAAACTTTGAGATATTTAAGTAAGATTTTATTATTAAGATTTGATACCACTGATAGAAATAATTTGAAATCTATGATATAGATAAGATAAAAACCATTAGATTGATGTGCTTCTGATAATATAGGTTTCATCTTACAGAGATTATAAGACTGGACAACAATAACCTTGCTCTACAATAACCTTATAGGTGTTAAAATAGGGTTATGATTATACTTTATTTATTTTTAACTTTATTTTATTTGTACAATTTTTAAATTCTTATAGTATATTTCACATTGTTTCCATCAGCGGTATCAAATCTTAATAAAATGTTTTACTTGGGTATCTCAAAGTTTTGTGTTAGGTCTGTAAATATTCTGAATTTTTATAACATACTTATTGATTTATTCTTACCAAAATGGTAAGGAATAATGATTAACAATGTTTAATGATGCAAATGGCAGTGTTCTATAATTCCTCAAAAAGAAATTTTTGTATTATTAATAAAATTTGAAGCATTCAACTTAAAATCAATATCAAGGCAAGAATAATATTATGCTTTTCTTTTTAATAAAAATTTTTTTTGCTCAGTTTATTCCTGTATTAACATAATTATGGGTTATTGATTGACCTAAACAGTTTGTTTAAAATGCAAAAACTTGCAAACAAAAATTATAATTGTACTGGACAGACCTTGAACATTTGACATATATCTAATATGAAAGTACATTTTTCAAAGCTTTTTAAATAATTTTTTTAATAAGTTAAAGGCCTTGTTTTAAATAAAAAGTTCTAAACGCAATAGTTTAATATGATCTTGGCGTCATAAAGTTCTCTTTATTTTTTTATTTTTAAAGGCATTAACTTTTTTAAATTAGTGCAATAATATTAACTAGCTGAGATCAGACCCGTAAAAATATGGGTCGTTGTAAGTCTATTCCAAAACAAGCTTTTCTATATTTTTTTCTTATATATCCTAGCTTTCCCGGTCCGTAAAATACAGGTCTTTACGAATTTACATATCTATTCCACAATGATTATTTCTATACCTATTCCTTATTTACTTCAATATTTTTTAGTAAAATAATTTATTTTGAAAAAAATTTTTAAGAGCAAAAAACTTAACATTCGCACCTTTTCCGCATGCAAAAAGCTTATAAGAGACTTATAGGTTTAGGTTTGTTTTTCTGATAAATGCATTTTATTGATAGCTCGGTGGTTAAGTGCGCTGTCATCAGTGTTGTTTTGGGGGGCTTAAGACCTCCTCTTAGCGTAATAAATTTTGAAATTTTTTTAATCTTGCTTATATATTTATAGCAAAAAAAAAAAAAAAAATAATGTTGCAAAAAAGATTTCTAAAATTTAAAATTAAATTTTAAGTTTTCTCATTTTATAGATATATTATGCGCAATTATTCCATATAATACC